TATTAATAATGGAACAAAACCAAGTACTTAAACGTATATTGGGACATAATAATGTTCAGTGGCAATTTTCCAAATTTTCTAAAAAAAATATTGTATGGCACAAAAGACTTATTTTTCTCGTGTCCCATTCCCAGTCGTCATTATCTGGCTCAGTACTATATTATAATTTATTAGTTATTGATAAGATTTTTATGTCGACCAAATTTGAATAATCAAACAAATAAAGCCAGATAATTTTGCATAATTGTTGTTTTTCTAGTTATAGGTTTGTGAACACAAAGAGAGGTATAAATACAAATAAATTGGTCCCTCTTATAGGCGATGAAATTAAATAAAATCCCCTGCTTTGAATTTTTGACTAAATCAAGTACTTGAAATAAAATTCCAGCAGCCAGAAAATGGCGCTTATCATTTCTACAAAGAGACTATTCAACCCCCAAGATGGACCGGCAATCAGACAATATTTTATATGAAATTATTATAGAATACTAAATTTTAAAGAGAGAGAGAGATATGCCTAAGCTTTAACTATAAAAGGAGAAACGAAGATGCATTCTCTGTACATCTCTCTCTACCTTTTTCCTCACTTCTGAGCAGTGTAGAGTGCCGTGAAGGAAAAGAAAAAAGGAGAAAAATGGGATACCTTTTTGAAGAAACCTTAAGCTCTAACCCTAAAACCCCAATTGCTATTGGTGATGATAATGAGTTGGGTTTGATGGCCGTTAGACTTGCTAATGCCGCAGCCTTTCCAATGGTTCTCAAAGCTGCCATCGAGCTCGGTGTCTTTGACACTCTCTATGCCACCTCTGAGTTCCTCTCACCTGCTGAGATAGCGAGTAGGCTACCAACTACGCCTCGCAACCATGAGGCTCCCGTTTTGTTGGACCGGATGCTTCGTTTACTTGCTAGCTACTCCATGGTCAAGTGCGGTAAGCTCTCAGCCGGAAAGGGCGAGAGGATCTACAGAGCCGAGCCAATTTGCAGGTTCTTCTTGAAAGATAATATTCAAGATATTGGATCCCTTGCTTCTCAAGTCATTGTCAATTTTGACAGTGTCTTCCTCGATACATGGTAATTTTCACAGTTCATTCAAGTCTGTATTCTTCACGAATTAAGTCGATTTAAACASAATGAATCTTACTATATGGATATGCCATTTTTTCACAGGGGACAATTGAAAAATGTGGTGCTAGATGGAGGAGATGCATTTGGTCGTGCACATGGTGGCATGAAACTCTTTGACTACATGGGAACAGATGAGAGATTTAGCAAACTCTTTAATCAAACTGGATTCACCATTGCGGTGGTGAAGAAGGCTCTTGAAGTTTACCAAGGCTTCAAAGGTGTGAATGTGTTAGTCGATGTGGGAGGAGGAGTTGGTAACACTCTTGGTGTTGTTACTTCAAAGTATCCCAATATTAAGGGTATCAATTTTGATCTCCCTTGTGCCTTGGCGCAAGCGCCTTCTTATCCCGGTGTTGAACATGTCTCGGGAGATATGTTTGTGGATGTCCCAACCGGAGATGCTATGATCTTAAAAGTAAGTTAATTAAACAGCTTATAACTCATATAMTCCGTTAAAATGTYCATACATTCTAGTACTTTGTATTTAAATCTGGAATTTTAATTTGTTTTACAGCGTTTACTTCATGATTGGACCGATGAAGATTGCGTGAAGATTCTTAAGAATTGTTGGAAATCACTACCGGAGAACGGTAAAGTTGTTGTCATAGAACTAGTCACTCCTGATGACGCGGAGAATGGGGACATCAACGCGAACATTGCCTTCGACATGGACATGCTAATGTTCACACAATGTTCCGGCGGAAAAGAGAGGTCACGAGCTGAGTTTGAAGCTTTAGCCGCAGCTTCTGGTTTCACTCGTTGCAAATTCGTTTGTCCCGCTTATCATTGCTGGATTATTGAGTTCTGTAAAGAAAATATTTAAAATACAAAACCCATTGTCAATTTCATCCTTGTTTGAGATGATCATAGCTTTGTCTTTGCCTTCAAGCAATGACATATAAATAAGCTTCAATTAAATCACATGTAAATCATGGGGTTTTTTAGAGCTCACAACTCACAAGTGAAGCGGGAATCTTGTTTAATGGAAATCTTAATTTATATGATTTTAAATGAACTGTAACGGACACCATAATAGAAATTGGTGGTATACGACCCGTTTTGGTTATCTTAAATTCCAAAAATTACATGTTTTGTTCGTCTCTATGGGTTTGTAGCTCACTAATTAATGTTTTAATATTATGGAAAAAATTGTCGTATGTATCTTCTTGAAAATAAGAAAACAACCCATGGAATCCTTAGAACACCGATGAATTATTCCATTTATTCTGTGTATCCCGTTGTATGATAACCAGTTACACCCGTAGTGCTTTAGGAAGACTATTTGACATTTGTCGAATCGGAGCTAAATACCATAAAACCAACCTAAATAAACAAGGGAATTTTTCAAATCTACCATTTTCTTCAATTTTTTTTTGTGAAATCTATCATTATTAAAAATCACTTGTAAAATCTACCACAATTATACTGTTCATAATGACAAAAAGACAATTATGTCCATGCATTAATTTTCCTTTGTTTTTGTTCTTGTCCATCGTAACCGTTTTCGTCCACCACCGTCTCCGACCATAACCACTGCGCTCCGGGTTTGTCCACCACCGTTTCCATCCATAACCATCGTGTTCGTCTCCGTCTTTGTCCACCATCCACCATCGTCTTCATCTCTGTCCACCGTCGTCTCTGTTCTCATCACTGTTCACTGCCATCTCTGACCATAACTATCGCCTTCGTACACAACCACCAGCTTTGGGTTTG